ACTGGATTTCTCATGATTTTACATAAACACTTTATCGCAATTTCACTAATTCTTGTCCATTTTATACATTTAGTTTGATTAGTCACTTTTCACATTTGTTATGCAATTCCACCTTCGATCTGTTATTTCTAATCTCTACTTAGTTATTCGCGTCTAGGCTACATCTCACATGGCGTAATATACTTGTTCTAGGATATAATTACCAGTATCCAATTGAATTTATGAACTATTTGTTAAATGTAAAACGATTGTTAAACCCTTAAAAAACTTATTCGTTGGAAAGAAAAGCCTTCCTCATTGTCACCTCTTCCTTTGTTTTATTGACAGATCTGTTTGTGAAGAATTCATCCATGGACAGAAAGACTCCAGTCAAGGCTATCTCAGACGACCTTGCCATTAGTTAAAAAGCTGCTGCTCTACCTTCTAATTCAATTCTAAGTCCTTCAAAATATTAAATAGACAAAGGAGAGCAAATTTACTACGATTTGCCGAAGCGATCGCAATCAAATGATTTAAACCAGACTTATGCATACAGAAAGAGAGTGTGATTAACCTCTCACTACCTTGGTAACAAAATTTTGATTTGGGTTAGTCATCTAATTCAGTGATCTCAACTCACCGAATAAATCTTAATCTCATAAACTGTAACCGCTTTTGTTTTTGGAGTTGCTATGTGAACCTATAAGCTAACACAGTTCTGTCAATCAACTTTTTCTGTTTTCTGTCTTACCCCTACCCACTTTTCAACTTTAAGAGCGTATAAATTGATGATGAAAACTTAAACTAAAAACATTGTAATGCTGCTTACATTTTGGATGCGTCAATTTTATGGTATCTCTTCTCTACTATAAAACCATTATAATTTCAGGTAGTGTGCAGCTGATGAGAACCTGTGAAATAGAATGATATCATTTTATACTGAAAATTTCGTCTTCCTCTCTTTATCGAAATTCAATAATGACTAGAATGACAGAGGAAAACCATTCTGAGCAGCTAACTTGATAATAAGTGGACAGTAAAGTATCATGAATTCATACGACAGATGGGCATTGTCCACCCACAGTTGCTGCAATGAAATGATGACCTGGTGAAGAGTTGGGTCATCCCATTGCATTCCAACCTTCATTTTACCTTCAAGCACAATCTTTTACTGTATTATTTGTTGATAAAATAAACGGTTTTGGCCTTGAGTTATTTATTCGAATAAAACTACGTACTAATGACTGCGTTTAGTAGTCGTTTATACCACTCACATCGACTAGTAGTGCTTGCTTGCCAAGTCAAAGTGATGTAGAAACTGCATGGCAGTTTCCTTTTTTTGGAGCTAAGCTCACCAGCGGTATACCTCCTTTGAAAGCTGGTGATTTTGGCTCTCTGAGTTAAGATAAAAAGGGTGTAAAGTCGATGAGCTCAGCTCCAAACGAACGCAACGACCGTCCAGTATTGACATCACCTCGAATTGGCCAGTAAACATTGCTGATTTATCAGGAACTTCATGCATTTATTCCCCTTGATAAATTTGATTGAATAAAGCAAGAACAACAGTGGTTTGTGCAGAACAATATGGTACCATCATTTATTTCGTTGGCTTCTCATCAGCTGCTTACAGCCTAAATAAATTATGAAGTTAATGCACAGGAAATTTTTAACATACTTGCAAATTTTACATGATCTCAGTTGACAGAAGGTTCCGCTATTGGTGAACAGTGCTCAAAAGATTGCGCCTATATAGTTTTTACACAGGCAGTTAAAGTTTAATCAAAGCAAATGTATGCATAGGTAATAAGGACGAGAGATGCGTAAGATACTGAGTGACTGATAAATTAGGTAAAAATGTACTGAATTCAACTCAAATAATAGAAACAAGAGAAAAGGAGGCTGAGGTTAAGGTCAAAGATTAACTAATCAAATGAAAGAGGAAGACAGTGAAGACATCCAGTAACTAGGATGGGCAAGGAAAGACTGATAACTGCTTCTCTCTGAACACAAAAATCGCCTTTCAGGTGTTTGATAGAAATCGCTTCAGCAAACTTGAGAAGAATCGAGCTCTTTTATCTATTGATAATTTTAAAGGATTTTGCAATTTCCACCTCACAACCCGTATCGAAAAGATGTCTGGTAATAGCGCTATTATAAAAACTATATGAACGCAATTTTCTGAACACTTTTCACTAATTGCGGGACCTTCTGTCAACTGATATCATAAAAAAATTTGCAGGTATGTTAAAACCTTTCTGTACATAAACCTCATCATTTATTTAGGCTGTGAACAGCTGATGAGAAGCCAACGAAATAAACAGTGATGGTACCATATTGTTCGGCACAAACCACAATTGTTCTTGATTTATTCAAATTGCTGATTTATTTGAGTTGTACTTAACTACTCAATTCAATCAGTCAGTAGTATACAGTCATCTGCATTTATGTTTGTCTTCTTGATTACCATATATAGTACCAAATGGGTCGGATACTGTGATCTGAACAAGTGTGGTTTCCAAAATTAGACTGCAGTGAAATTACACTTAGAACTGTGCAAACCGAAAAATTAGTTTATTTATTTGAAGTCAGACACTTTTTGTGACTGTTTCTCAAACAATAACCACCGCATACCACCACGTCTTAATGCTGGCACGATTTTCTTTTGTGATGCAGCTGCTTTAAACTTGTCCTTGGCTTCGATGAGCGAATTTGATTGATGGTGGCAACATTATTTGCCAGGTTTCACTGACTCGCTCAGTGAGCGTTTCAAGGTCATTGGTGCGATCGCATTCCAACGGTAGTCACTGGTGCTTAAAGTTTAACTTGGCCTACGGTGGTGAATAAACTGGCTTTACGAAAAGGATTAATGTGTAAAAAGACAGAAAATTAGTTCACGCAGAAGGAAATCTGATGTGTGTGTTGAAGACTTCACATCTCCTACCACTCTCATTAAGCATTCCTAAAATAAATTCTAGACCATTCCTCTTACTTAAGCTTCAACCTTCACTTAAAGCCTTTAACGATCCTAAACAATTCGCTTACAAACACAGCAGAAGTACTTTAGATGCAGTCGTAGTCTCGTACCATAACATTGTCTCCAGCTTAGACAAGGGGGATAAATTTGTTCGCTGCACCTTCCTAGATTACACATCTGCTTTCGACTTAGTACCTAGGGACATTTTGTTAAACAAGCTTGCCGAAACTCAAACTGACTGGTGGATTGTCAAATGGCAGCATTCTTATTTCTCAGGAAGAAAGCAGTACACTGTATGTCAGGGAAAGTCGTCAACTTCGTTGCTTACTGAGGCTGGTGTCCCTCAAGGTGCTGTCCTTTCTCCTTTTCTGTTTTCTTTCTCCTTGCATGATTTACCTCACTCTGAACCTTGTTAAGTATGCCAATGATCTAACTATTTCAATGTCTGTTAACTCCCAGCTTGACTGTGCTAAGATGAACAGCTTTCTATCAGGAATTAGCAAATGGTCTTCGTGTAACGGTCTTAAACTAAATCCTTCCAAATTCCAGACTGTTAATATCAGTTTCCGATGTAAACGAAAGTTAAATGAAGCTGTTGGTTCCTATGACCCTTGCAAAATTGATGATAGTGATATAGAAATCAATCCTGAAGTTAAGTATCTTGGATTAACTCTTTCTTCTGACCTATCCTGGTCTTCCTATGTCTTATCGATTTCTAAAGGAATATTTCGTCTGACTTTTCGCATTAAGAAGTTGAGGCACTCAGGCATAACCCAACCCCTCTCTTACAGTTTGTCAACTCGCGTATTTTACCTATTCTTCTTTACTTTTCACCCTTGCTTATTCTTTCCTGGATTGCTTAAAAAAGACTATGTCATACTTCGTAGAACTCTGAAGACTGTCAGCAGGACGAGTGGTATCCCATTGGGCCATATCGTTGACATTGTCGCTGATAGGCACTTGATGTCATGCAACAAATTTGCTTAAGGAATTTTGTCAGACTCTGAGCACCCACTCTACTCGCAGCTCCAACCTTGTGTCTCCTCAGGTAAAACAAGAAGTCTTTTTAGAAGAATTTACGCACGTACGTCTAAGTATAAAAATTCCACTATACCATATTTAGCACGTACTTTATGTGATGAAAATTGTGTCAGGCATGAACTAACTAACCTTCTTTGCACTACTAAATAAACCATTTCTTCCAGCCTTACAGTATCAAACTTTATTGTTATTGTATTTCTTATATTTATAATCCTCTCAATTTTTTGTTTTTATTTATTTATTTTTCATAAGTGTGAACATCGTTTAAGCTGTGTTACCACTGTTAATCTTGTATTTCCCCTCACTATACTGTATCAACAGAACATTAGATTCAATACTCTATAGTAACATGCTAGAATTCTCAAACTGAATCCACAGTACTGTTTGAAACAAACTCACTGTTATTATTATGATTAATATTTAATGATCTCAATTAGTGCTTAGAATATTTTTGACTTTATATCGTAAGCGTGGACAAATTCCTCTGGTTACTTTTGCTTTAATTTATAATTTTATTTATATTTTAAGTAAATCAGATGCAATATTGTGACAAATGCTGAGAATTCCATTCTGTATTATGAGTACCGTTTTTGGAATAAAGTAAAAATAAATTATTAATATTATTATTATACTCTGTAAACAAATTTTACAGCATCATTCTCCAACATTTAACTGAGCTGTTTATTATCAAATGGAGAAACCTACTTTTGAGATAAACTACGTTTAACAGATAGCTGTTGTGTTTTGAATAAGTTTCAAATACAAACAAGATGACGTGGCATTTACTATCATTCATCTCATTGTTCATATAATAATGGCTGTCACTAATTTTAATGTCAGTGGATTCAGCCAATCACCGATTGACTTTCTAAAATCTATATGGCCAATCATTTTGTTTGACCTTGAGATCGTAAGACCAGACAATTTAAAAAGCTTATATTCGTGCGTTTTGTGCATTCGCTCGTTGACTGTTATTTCTTTCGTGTGGTACTAGGACTACGGCTCTATGAATTACTTACCTAGTTCCATACCAATTATTGGTGTGCATGTTTTAGATGCTGATGATCATGAAAATATTTGGAAAGTAGTAAAGCGTATTTTTCCTTCATGGTCTGAGAAGCACACCAAAATTCAGGTATAGTATCTGTTTTAACTTTGTCATATATATAATGTGTATTATTGTAGGCATTAGAAGAGGGATTATCTAATATAGTTCTTCAATTGGATCATGATAATCACAATGAAGAGCCTAAAACAATTCTTATGCGAATTCGACGAAAAGTCACAGATTCTGTTAATGATAGATTTAATGAAATCAAGCATATGTATATACTTCATGAACTTGGCAATGAACAAGAATTGTATGCAGTATTCCAAAATGGTATAATATTTTCATTTCTTAAAGGATCTTCAATAAATGTGGATAAGTTTTCAGTGCCAAAGTACAGTGAGTAAGTGTCTTGTGAATGTGTACGATTTCTTGTTGAGTTTACCATTATCTTTCATGAGATTTGCACGTTATATTATATGCTTTTAGAACTCTTGGCATTAAATATATTATGTTTAGCAAACTCTATGTAAAAAGATAAGGAGGTGGCATCTCAGCTAGCGAAAGCTCCCGACACACTGCAGACTATCCTAGTCAGAAAAGCCACAAAAAGCTTATAATGCAGAACGGGTGCAGGATATGTTCTTCCGAAGTTTTTGAAGTCTTCAAAAATCCACTGGATGAATTGTCCATCACTTTAGTATTCACTATTCTCCTTATTTCACACACAAAATTGAGTTCAGAACATCTGAAATCATTGAACTGGACCTGCAACTTTGGGAAATCCCCAAAATATCATCGTGTTAACTTCTAAAGGGTATATTCACATATCGTCCCAAGTTGTTGATGTCTCATATCTTGTAATAGTATGTGGCTTCAGAAGTTGGTCAGTTGGTGTCACAACGTGAAACACCTATCTTTTTTTCTTGATTCGTCTTTCCGAAGATGTAGTTGACCACAACGATACATAAGTTTATTCACTTTTTCCTCTCTTAGTAATGTTGACCAGTTAATACTGTGATGGCATCCTGTACCATGCTCTTCGCTAAGTTCTCTCCAAGAATTATTTGTGTAACTTGCATAGTATACAGTTAGACTTAAGTTAGGTGCTCCTCTTTATCCTGCTCCATAGTAGACACATCATTAAACAAGAAGGGAATACATAACTGATATTGTAGTCTTTTGAATTTCGGTGACTTAATAGCATTGCTAGAGTTTATTCAGATTTATTTGTTGGGGATAGAAGGCTTGGAGTTTATGTTAATCCTTTTCTAGTAAATTTCTTTGGTTTGTCCATACCCTTCTTGAACGAATCAGTTGAGGTTGCAGACACCACTTCTTCTGGGTGTCGGTTCCAAGAGTTTATGACTCGGTGTGAGAAACAGTACTCAACAGCAAAACGATTTCTTCTTGGCTTTTGAACTCTCCTGCTATATCCTCTAAGGTGTTCCGACCTGGTGGGAAGGAAAAGAGAGAATAGGTCAGGTCCATAGTCATTATTTAATATTTTAAACAATGTGATTAAATCTCCTCTCTGCCTACGTACGGTATGACAGTGAGAAGAGATTTAAACTGTCTAGTCTTTCCTAGTATGATAAATTGGTCATACCGAGAACCATACGTCTTGTCTTCCTTTGAACCCTTTTTAGAATGTGTTTACCATAGTGTAAGTCATATGGCGTGAAGGCTAGTTCATCACACGGGGATAGTTCATATTCACCACTAGGATATTTTAAATTTTGCTGGGCATTTCTAACCTTCAAATCTCTTGATAAACAATGTAAGCTGAAGTAGAATGAAGTTAGAATATATTTTGTCACGGTTAGACGGAAACTTGGCACCAATATATGACGGTTATTAATATAGCCTATATAGGAACTTTAGGCTTTGTGTAAAGAATCTCTGAGGGTATTTCTGGAGGTGGTGATTAAAGTAATGTGATCATATATGAATTCTTTGTTATCAAGATGTTAGACATATTCAGTAATCATTTTGTGTCATATTATTACTGCATCGTAACATTTTTCTTCACTCATGTTGCTGGTGTTTTCAGTCTTTTTGTATCACGGGAAGTATCCGAGTAGCCTCACTGGTACAAGTACAGCTTTCAACCTTGATGTTATAAGGTCAAAATCCATTTCACTTACCATTGGTTTAAGCTACCAGCTATTACCATTATCCCTCACTTTGTAAATCTGGCTTATTGTTTTGCTTTTTTCCCTAGAAGTGATCTGTGAAATAGTTGTATTGTAGACAGACATCAGTTACAGATACTCTAAGACAGTTTACACTTACTGTGAATGCATGAATAAGTAACACTTCTTAACTAAGTCACCTATCACTGTCTTTCAGAATAACACAATAAGGGTTAACTGGTGTATAAACAAGTGTGAAACATATTCGAGACAGTCTATGCACAGAAGGGCTACAGACTTATCAAATAAACTGCTTGTATCACCTATCTTCTACACTCTTCAAGTGGTGACTCTAACAACTTTTGTAGGTGTAAAAGTACACAAATACTCGGAGTCTTTTACTTGATCGTATGCGTTCAAGAGTCACATTTCCAACAAAGTTAAACTCTAAGCACCAGTAAGTATCAACGGAAAAATGACTTTGACGGCACCAACCACACAATAAAAGGCGATTTTTGTGTATAGAATACATATATTCATGAAAGTAATGAAATATAAGGTATCGAAGTGTTACACAGGGTACCTTTCTCTGATGTATGACAAAGATATCTCAGTTTCGAATTGGAATATCAACAGGGTAATTTAACCACATTCTCTACCTGTAATTATCTAGGTTTTCTAACCCTAACAATAACCTTAAGCTTTACTTAACCCTAATGTGGAAATGTCCTTAAACTAACCGTAATCTAACTCGAACCCACCCTATTGTTGCTCTCATTAGGTTAACCTAGCCCCGGTGTAGACGTGATATCCGGCTGTTTGTCGATCAAAGGGCGGTTGTACTGCTCAGCAGTTTGCTCCCTCCTCCTTTATGGCTGTGAGATCTGGCCATTGAGAGTGGAAGACATGGAAAGGCCGGCTAGTTGTCTGTGTTCTATCTCCCGTGTGAAAGGGTATAACAGGGTGAGCAAAATTGTGATTAGGCGTCGAGGGCCTGGTAAAGAGGGGAAGTCAGTCGACGAGGCTGTGAAGCTACATCGACTGAGATGGTAAGAACATGTGTTACGTATACCTAGTCATCGCCTTCCTCAACGAGCAATTTTAACTGACATAGGGTCAGGCTGGAAAAGAGCTAGTGGCGGTCAAACGAAAACATGGCTTCATCAGTCAATGTAATCCACAAAAGTTAGTTTAAGCCAGCCACGTAGAAAGGTGTAGACTTCCTGGTTGGGGTCTTCGGGACGGTAAAAACCAATGACTGGAGACAATTGTTGATATGACTCAAAGTTGTTCTCGACGACTGGTGCAGTTGCATCCACTCCTTGTGACTTACAATATCCAATAAAACTATATTGTTCTTCAATGTTACTATTCCTTTGTCCCACACACCTCTGTTTACTGTCTCTATTTTGAATCTCTTTTTTACTTTTTTCTCTTGCTTTGTGCGCTACATGGAGTGTGGCGACTTGAGCTGCTACACATCGGTGGAAAGTTCTATGTCGAAACACAGACAGACAACCTAGCCCTAACCTGTCCTTAGCCTAAACCTTAACTTAATCTTTCCCAAACCTAACCTGAAACTTGCTAGATATCCCATTTAATAACATAACACTTCATTAAGCATATTTTATTCGTGATCACAATATTATTTACTCGCTGAATGTTTCAAGTCATTCATTGGTGAGGCCGCACTCCACTGGTATCTACTGGTGCTTAAAGTTTAACTTGGCCACTTTTCCTATCTATTAAGAAGAATAAAAAACAGTACTGAGCAGTATACTTGTTCCTTTGTCAGGTGAAAACTTGGTGTCTTTAGTTAATTGGCAATCTGTATGTGTGTGTGTGTGTGTCTATTCATGCCGCCAAAGCACACTTATCATAAAGTAATAACTTAAGATTGAGCGTCGCTGAACGCAACATAAAAGTGTGAAATTGTCAGTCAGAGGATTATTCAAAGTCTGGATCCTATCACTATTTTCATTCAAATGGACTATATCATAAGTTTCGCCATACTTTGAGAAAACAAACTATCAATTGACATCACACGCCAGGCAATCGGTCGAGTGGAACCCGAACGGGAAGCGACGACTTAGTTGATCGTCAGTGCGAGTGTGACATGGAGGAGATCATGTGACGAGGAGATGAAAGCATTTGGGCAGACGTGTAAAGCCAGGTGAAAACGTTGGTGAGGAACCGAACGCGCAATGAAGACGTGCAACTGAAGCCCTATGTTCCTCTAGGAACTCAAGGAAACAGTAATAATTATTATAAGTTTGCTCTAAGCCAGTTTGGAAGTAGATAGGCTTTTATTTCTCTCTTATCAAACATTGTAGCTCATCTGAGTCTTCGGCATTCGTTTTTCTCTCCTGTTAATGATTTAACTGAATGTTATTCGTTAAGGTATCTTAGCTTGATCTCCTTATAATGGTAGCTTGTTTCTCATGACTACTTTTACTGAGTCATGGAGTTGCAACATATTTTCTCTGTAAGCTTGTGAAACTGCTAATTACTGATAGGCCCTCCTTGTGTGTTGTCAAGTATTTCTTCTTAGTTTGTTTAAATTTCATAAGTTGAAAGGTTCTGTCTGTCTGTCTGTCTGTTTTCAACATAGAACTTTGCACATATGTGCGGCAGTTCAATTCGCCATACTCCATGCAGCACACAAAGCAAGAGAAAAAAGTAAAAAAGAGATGCAAAATAGAGACAGTAAACAGAGGTGTGAGACAAAGGAATAGTAATATTGAAGAACAATATAGTTTTATTGGATATTGTAAGTCACAAGGAGTGAATGCATCTGCGCCATTGAGAACGACTTTGAGCCATGTCACCAATTGTTTCCATCCATTGGTTTTTACCATCCCGAGGACCACAACCAGTCAAGAAGTTTACACTTTCCTACGTGGCCAGCTTAAACTAACTTGTAGATTTCATTGACTGGTGAGGCCATGTTTTGGTTTGACCTCCGCTAGCTCTTTTCCATTCTGTCAGCTAAAATTAACCGTCGAGGACGGCACTGACTGGGCCTACGTAACACATGTCCTAACCATTTCAGTCGATATAGCTTCACAACCTCGTCGATTGACTTCCCCTTTTTACCTAGCACTCGAACGATGCCTAACCTCAATATTGCTCACCCTATTATACCATTTTACACGGGAGATAGAGCCCGGGCACTTATGGTCAAAGACAATTAGCCGGCCTTTTCATGTCTTCCACTCTCAATGGCCAGATCTCACAGCCATAAAGGAGAAGAGAGCGAACTGATGAGCAGTACACAAGCCCTTCGGTCGACAGCCGGTTATGTAAACTAAACGAGAGATGGAGTAAACTGGCATATGCGAAACTAGCCCTCTGTATCCGTGCTGAGATTTCGTCAGGGATCAACCCGTTGGCGTTGGGACTGATGGTACTTCCCAAATAAGTGAAGCGGTCAACTTGCTCTACCACTTCACTCACTACTATTGAATTTGTTGCTTTTTGTTCTCTATGCCATATTACCACCTTTCACTTATATGCCTCCGTGTCTTTTTTGTTTTATATTACATCGAATGCAGTGCATTTGCGTCATGAAGAATAATTTTTAACCATATCACCAGGAGTTTCAAGTCATTGGTTCTTAGCATCCCAAAGACTAATAGTTTGTGACTTTTGGTGGTGACACGGCTCCCAAATCGTTCTCAGCAACTCAGATGTGCATTCACTCTATGTCTAATCTCCTCATGTTTCTCCATGTTGCTATTCTTTTCTCTCGAACATTTCTACTTATCATACTTCTTTTGAATTTATTCTTTCTATCTTGTCTCTACTTTTGTGTGCTCTACTACATGGAGTGTGGCAACCTGAACTGCTGTACTTCTGTGCACAGTTCCGCGTTGAAACTCAGTTAATCAGCGCCTCAGCTGATATTCCTTCAAGACAGATATGACATTTATGGCATGAAATTGCTTGCAAAGAGGAATTAGCTCTATTTGGAAGTCGATCTTCGCACATTTTTCATATTTTCGGTGTAAAATCTAGTCGATTACAAACTTCTGGGTGCGTTCACCAGATATTTCAATGTGTTTGTTACTATGTCACTTTCAGACTCAGATAATAAAGATAGTAGATACTTGTTGTCTATATATATATATATATATATATAAACAGTCAGTCTCTGATAAATTTGAATAAGGCATTTAAAAGACAAATTTCGCGAGATGATATTACCATTTCGTAGTTTCCCTACAATCGCCCTACAGTTGTCACAGTAAGGATAGACCACATCTTAAAAAGGCAGCTTCTGTACCAAAGAAAGCTATCTTTACTAACCTACAATTTAAGGATGATAAAATCATGCAGTTCACAGCTCGAAGACTTCGGTCAGCCATCAAGCGCACATTCTATACCGCATCTCTTTCCCTCACATCTCGAATATTTACCATCTCTGTACCTACGGTTAAAGGACGATATTATGTAGACTCTACCTAAAACTGTATCTACAAGTTCACCTGCAGCTGTGTTGACACCTATATAGGTAGAACCACTAGAAAGTTCCAATGTCGTTGGGGAGGACATGTTCCCAAATGGTTACTACAACACATAGAAAATCCCAATGCAATTATTAATCTGAATAGAAATCCATCATCATCATCATCCATTGCAAAGCACTTAGTAATGTCAGGTTACAAAATCAATATTAATGACTGTTTCACAATTATTTCACCACATAACTCTAGTTCAAGGTTGGTTATTAAAGATGATGGGAGCACTGTGGGGGATTAATCACATTCATCTTAAACTATGTGTGTACATGTGTGCCTACCATGAACTGACTACTTGACCTATTTAGATATGATAGGTCATTAGTGTGTACTTTTGGCTTTATATGTACCTGAGTAGTTGTCATGCCTTTTATTTTGTTATTATTGTGAACCAACCATGTTAGTTGTGTAAAGCGGTCGTAGAGAAACTATGAAATGAAGATATTATCTCGCGAAATTTATCTTCTAAATGCCTTATTCAAAGATATATATATATTGCTTGGGTGAGTGTCTTCTGTTTTCAATTTCACATGTTCTATCTTGTCATGTGTGACTAACTTTCACTGTAGTACTTTTTATGCTTAACTAAGCAATGACACAGATGAATCATCTCAACTTTTACTAGATTTCATAGGTGTTTGTTTTTATCAACATATTTATGCACATATTCACGTGTTTTATCTACCTTTTGCCCTCTTCATCAAGATTAATCATCGATCGATTGGCTAGACTGCATAGTCTGCCAACAAGAGAAGCATTGTTACGCTTAATACCAGAAGAATCAAGAGCCGCTGTTGAACAATCCTATCGACAACCAATTTTGTTTCCAACAATTCGAAATTGGATTAGTAAACTACCGTCTGGATTCAGTGATCCTCAAAAATTTGAAAAGTATGCTTTATACATCAGGCAATATCATTATTATTATTATTAATGATAATTCATCTTATTACTTATTGATTCGTTAATCTCTTCAATCTGAACTCACTTTTTTCGACTTAGGAATCTACTTGTTACCAGGGAATAGTCTTATGGACTTAGAATATGCAGATGACATAGTCCTGTCAACGGGGGGGGGGATGCTGACAAAATGCAGAGTCTTCTGAACACCTTGAGCAGCAATCTTCGTATGTTTGGTATGCGATTCGCCCCTACAAAATGTAAGATGCTGCTACACGACTGGACTACGTCTACTCCTAGCTTAGTGATGATAGGGAGTGAAGTGATAGAACATGTTGACCACTTCACCTATTTGGGAAGTTGTATCAGCAACAACGGACTAATTGGCGACGAAATATCAGCACGGATTCAAAAAGCTCGAGCTGCTTTCGCCAACTTACACCATCTCTGGCGTAGGCGTGACATCCGGCTATCAACCAAGGGACGGGTGTACTGCTCAGCTGCAGTTCGCTCCGTCCTTCTCTATGGCTCTGAAACATGGCCAATACGAGTTGTTGAAGACATGAAAAGGTTGACTGCTTTCGATCATAGATGTCTGCGATCTCTGTCTCACGTTAGGTGGTTTAATAAGGTAAGTAATGTTGACGTTAGGCCTAGAGTGTTGGGTAAAGAGGGAAAATCAATCGACAAGGCTATAAAGTTACATAGATTGAGATGGCTAGGTCGGTCACGTGGTGCGCATGCCTAACCATCGCCTGCCCCGCCAACGGGAATTACTAGCTGACATAGATAGGTGCAGGTTGGAAAAGAGTAAATGGCGGGTGGCCAAACAAAAACATGGCATCAATCCATGAAATCCTTGACAGTTAAACTGAGTCAGTCAGGTAGAGAGATGCAGACTTCCGGGTTGGGGCCCTCGGGACTGACTCTAGGAATCAATGGCTGGAAACAATAAGTGGTGACATGGCTCAAAATCGTTGTCAATGGCCAGCTCAGATGTATTCAGTCTCTGTAATCTTTCATATTCCTTTCTACCACTACCCATTCTGTTTCACTCTTATACTTGTCAAACGCTATTGATTCTCTTCACTCATCTTCTTGTCTACCTACCTTTGTGTGCTATTTGGAACGTGGCAACTCGAACTGGTGCACTTCGGTGCCAAGTTCTGTGTTGAATCCAGACAGATAGACAGAGACACTTGTTACTTAGAACAGATTTTTCCTTTATCCAAGCTATGAACCGCACTTGTTGTATGGCACTCGCTTTTCGTCACCACAGAATAAAGTAGGTGAAAAGGAAGAGATTTTAACCCGGAGCCTGTTGACTGAAAGTCAAGTGCTACAGACGACCTGTTGTACGCTATCATAACCAACATTTCAAGATATTGTTGTCACTATTATTATGGTATTACCGTTTATTAAAAGTAGATGAGGTGGTAGGTAATAGTTAACTCCTAGCTAGAATGTTCAGGGATTATTCATCCTGTATACCTTGTTAAGGGTGATATAATAGCCATTAGTATAACAAGTGTAGGTACTTCACTGAATAACTTAAAAATTCCCATTGAGTCATATAAAAAGAAAACGCGTTTAGTGAAGAGTTACTCTCTTTTCTTTTGATTGCACATATTAGTCAGTAACTAGTGTGACGTGTCTAGTCCTATCTATCTTCGGTACAGACTGAATTCTATCAGTCAAGCGCTTGCAATGTGGCTACCATGCCACTACGTAGGTGGCTCGCCATCACGATGCACTGTGGTGAATTGTTGGTATTAGATGTCTTACTTACTTACTTACTTCTGATTACCTCCAACCATCTAATACCAACAATTCACAGTGCACCGTGATGGTGAGCCACCTAGTGTCATAGTGGCCACATTGCAAGCGCTTGACTGATAGAATTCAGTCTCTACCGAAGATAGATAGGGCTAGACACGTCACACTGGTTACTGACTAGTGTCCAATCAAAAATGTCATCCAATACAGTCTTACAGGAGGTCAATCACGCGAGCCCGAATAGCTCAGTGGTACTGCGTGATGCGGGTTCGAATCTCAGAAGGGACATGAGTTCCTTCAAGGCAGTTGCAGATACACCTTGCTGATGATTGCTGACTATCACGAAATCTAGGTCGAAAGTGAAGGATAAGGATAAGCTACCACTGTTGGCCTAATCAGTGTCCAGCTACCAATTCACCTACTCGTGTGGAGCTAGCTAGGTATGTCGGCCGTACCCAGCGTTTGCTGTCCAAACGTATCATCGAACACTTACCCACAGTCATGGTTTTGTAAAGATTCTTCCCCCCCCCCGCCCCCAAGCCCCCGAAGCTCTATTCTGGAATACCTGATCGAATCGGAGAACCAAAAAAAAACCATAGAGTAACTTGAAAGTCATCTACAGAATACATGGGAATTTTGCTAAAAGAGTACGAATCAAACTTCTTCAAACCACAGAAGCAATGACAATTGAAATATTAACACCTGAACTCTGCATATACAAGAAGAAGTTTGTTCAATCATCAAATGTAGAATGGACCTGACATGACCTATCTTGACACCAAATACGTATTTTTTTTTCTTGCCCCTTATTACCACTGTTATTAACTTGACTTAAACGTCAATCTGAACGAAGAATATTCTTTCCAATTATTTCCCCTCTTGTCGTTCTTACAATTATAAAATATAATATTTGTTGTCGTTACATTAAAGGCCAGTTATGCGGCGGTTACATTTTTTACGTAGAATAACAGATTAGTTGTCATGGTGTGTCAAAATAAATAGTCGTATTTGTGTGTGAGACAAACGTGCTAGTTGGCTGAAATCGATTAGAAAATATTGTGAAACGGGAGACAATGGTGGTGATTCATCATAATAGAGAGTGTGGGGTAGGAAAATTGACAAGTCAGTTCAAGGTTATAAAAGGTGTCAGGTGACTGGCTAGTATAGTACAAAGTAGTATGAATTAAAGAGGAGGAGGTAGACTGTAACGGGAGGTTAATCGTGAAATAACCAATTCGTGTGAAATGAAACAGGTGGAGGCATATATTGAGAAAAGAGATAATATCACTAATAATAAGTCCGGATAGTATAAATGAAAAATTCGACAGTATTGAGGGAATGTTTGCATGAAGGGTAATAATTGTAATAATAATAATTTTAGTAATAAGTAAAGGAAAAAAGCCAGGATGGTTAAGGCGAAGGAGCAATCTTGGTGACAAGAAGAATCATCAATCCAAGTTTGGACACAGTAGGATCAGCGTGTGAACGTGTTCTTTTTGGATACAAAGTTCCGGTTTAGCCTATCTTATTGCAACATCTTCAGCTATGTGTGTAGGAGACGTAAGCGAACTGTATGGGATAACGACTTCAGAATTCGGTAAATAACCCTAAAGGCTACGTTGGCGTCGATGAGATGTCCAGTGACGACCAAATGATGTGACAGGATCGAGTTTTTTTATGCACTTAATTCCTCCCCTTGCTGAACCAAGCTGGTAAATGTCCTCGAACCCGTAGACACTTTAAATGGGATATGCATGAAGAAGACCTGAGGTTAAGTAAGGCATCTTTCAGTTGGATGGCTACTGAAGGAATTATTAAGAAGAATATTCTTCGTTCAGATTGACTTTTAATTTATGATATGAGAATATTTCACTCTATTGACTGTCATTCAATTTTAAATTTAGCTGGCCAGTACTCAACTCCATCAGTTAGATTACATCACTCAACATGCTTATTTAATTGTATTTTAATTTCTTATCAATTAACGAAATTTATTACCTAAAATTTACAATTCTAATGACACATCCTTGGAAATATTCGATTTGTTGCTAACACAACTTAACGAAAGCCGATCCATTCAGGGAGCCACAGAATCCTCAGCATTTGCATCCTAGATACTATGGAAGAGCAGCTGAACATTCTGAAGAGAATCCTTCAAGAAAATGGTTAAAGAGAACGTTTCATCACAAAATCCATGATACTTAAACCATCGAAACCGCCCACACTTTCTGCCTCCAAAAACCTCTACCTGAATCTAACATTCAATGTAGAGTCATCAGGAGAAATAGTGAAAAATAGCCTCTCCCGCTCACTGAAGAAAGCCATCTTAGCGACTGAACTCCGACTAACCTTCTCTACGAAACCAATGATTCACATGAACATGAATGATAAGCTACCACTGTTGGCCTCATCAATGTGCATCTACCTATTCACTTGTTCCTGTGGAGTCAGGTACTTTGGCTGTACCCAGCGTTTGCTACCCAAACGTATCATCGAAGACTTACCCGCAGTCATGACTTTATAAAGGAGAAAAAATGTATCCTCTTAGCTCTCTCCTGGAAGACCTGATCAAGTCAAGACACCAAATAAAACCACAAAGTAACTTTAAAGTCATCTACAGAATACGTGGGAATCTTGCTAAAAAAAGTGCAAGTCAAACATCTTCAAATGGCAGAAGCAATGGTAATTCACATGTTAGAACCTGAACTCTGTATACACAAGAAGAAGTTTGTTCAGTCATTAAATCTACAGTGGATCTGATCTATCCCAACACCAAGTCTTTTTCTTGTTTATTTGTTTCTTAGTTGTAAAATATTTTCTTCCTCCACCCCTTATTATCACTGTTGTTAACTTGACTGTCGTTCAGTTTTAAATTTAGTTAAGCTCTACTCAACCCCATCAGTTAGATTACAACACTCAACATGCTTATTTCATCTTATTTTAATTTCTAACCAATTAACCAAATTTATTATCTAAAACTTCCGATTCTAATGACAACCTTGGAAATATTCATTCTTGTTGCTAAGGTAATTTACTTACTGCATATATATATATATATATACTCTACTCGTACTCATATAGCCAGGTGAGGGCTTACGGCGAGTTGTCATCTGAACTGGTGACGACTAGTGGTGGCCGTCAAGGATGCTCATTATCCCTATTTCTATTCAACTTCATCATAGATGTACTAATGGACTTAATCCTAAGTGACTTCAGCGACTTAGGGATTGACTTGCTACCAGGGAATAATCTCGTTGACTTAGAATATGCAGACGATATAGCCCATCTAGGCGAGGACGCTGACAAAAGGAAGCAGAGTCTTCTAAACACCTTGAGCTGCAATCTACGAATGTTTGGAATGCGATTAGCTCCCTTTGTCAAATGTAAGATGATGTTACAGGACTGAACTACACCGACTCCTAGATTAGAAATAGAGAGTGAAGTGGTAGAGCACGTTGTCCGCTTCACTTATTTGGGAAGTACCATCAGCCCCAACGGGTTGATCTCTGACGAAATCTCAGCACGGATACCAGGGGCTAGTTTCGCATGTGCCAGTTTACGCCGTCTCTGGCGTAGACGTGCTATCCGGCTGTCTCGACTGATGGACGTGTGTACTGCTCATCAGTCCGCTCCGTCCTCCTGTATGGCTAGCTGTGATACCTGGCCACTGAGAGTGGAAGATATAAAAAGATTAGCTGTCTCTGATCATAGGTACCTGCGTTCTATCTCCCGTGTGAAGTGGTATAATAAGATGAGCAATATTGAGGTTAGGCGTCGAGTTCTAGGTAAGGAGGGGAAATCAATCGACGAGGTTGTGAAGTTACATAGACTGAGGTGGTTAGGACATGTGCTACGTATACCTAGTCATCGCCTACCTCGAGAGGCAATGTTAGCTGATATAGGATCAGGCTGGAAAAAAGCTAGCGGCGGTCAAACAAAAACATGGCCTCACCAGTCAACAATTAGTTTAAGCCACGTAGGAAGGTGTAGACTGGCTTACTGGTTGGGGTCCTCGGGACAGTAAAAACCAATGGTTGGGAACAATTGGGGACATGGCTCAAAGTTATCCTTCTCAATGGCTGGCTCAGATGCATCCACTCCTTGTGACTTATGATTTCCAATGAAATTGTTTTGTTCTTCGTTACTACTATTCCTTTGTCTCACACCTCTGCCTACTGTCTCTATTATGCATTTCTTCTGCCTTCTTCTCTTGCTTTGTGTGCTACAGTGAGGAAGTGTGGCGACTTGAACTGTCGCACATATGTGCAAAGTTCTATGTCGAAAACAGACAGACAGAGACATATTTATATGCCACTGTGCAGCTTGAGAGTGACATCACCGAAAAGAAGAGTAACCAACACTTCACTGAATGATAAAAGAATCTCTCTCACCGTGTCTGTATGTATGCGTGTGTGTGTGTGTGTGTGATGTTGTTGTTGTTGTTACTATCGTTGTTCAGTTGAATTAATAACTTGCTTATTCATTCCTTTTGTGTGTTTTTTTTCTTAATTTAGATTTACTACTGAATTCCCTACAAAAAGTGTTTTATTAAATGAATTAGCCTATGTAGAAGATTTGCTTAAAAACCCAATTTCACCAGTTGTCCTATGTCATAATGATTTATTGGCTGGTAATATTATTCTATCCGCAGATGAAAGTAAGCATTTATTGTTATGTAATTTCTTCTTTTTTCTTAAATTGTATACTGTCCTACGAATTTTGATGATTGTGTATACTTTCACTTAAAAGAAATACAGATTGGAAGAGATCCGAATACAGAACATGATGTTAGGGCATTGAACAGCTTAGTTGAATTCAACTTAAGCATTTATGGGTGACATCTGTTAGAGAACTACTGGAAAACCATCTGAGAGTTCTAAACGGCTGTTTTACCCCAGGTTTAGGACTCTCCAGTAGTATACACCATCCCCCCCCCGCCCGACGAGGACAGAAGTCGTGAAGGCAATCAAGATGCTAATAAAAGCCGGAAAAGCAGCAGGACCAGATGAAATTCCAAGCAGAAGCATCGAAAATGGATCCAGAGACAATAGCGGACTTGATGACGCTACACTACTGGAGAAGGTGTGGAAATAGGGCAAAGTACCCGAGGATTGGAAGAAAGGAGACTTAAGTCAATGCAAGAACTGGCGCAGTATTATGCTCCTGTCCATTCCAAGCAAAATACTAAGCCACATCATCCTGGAGAGAATCAAACACGCCAACCTAGGTTGAAAACTTCGACCGGAACAGGCTGGATTCAGGAGAAACAAGTCATGTATTGATGAAATCACCACACTACGGATAATCATTGAACAAAGCTTGGAATGGTAGTTACCTCTCTATCTCACTCAACTTCATCGACTTTGAAAAGGCTTTCGATAGACAGCGTCGATCAAGAGGTGATTTGGCAACTGCTTCGCTACTACGGAGCGTGCACGTGGCTGAAACCCTATGTTCCTGTAGGAATTAAAGGAAATAATAATAATAATACGGGAGTTCAAACCCAGGACTTCTCAGTTACAAGGTAAGCTCGTCGATCATTCAGTCACTGGGACCCATGAAATCCATCTTCTACCAATTCGGCATATGTAGCTCAACCACCAGTCAATGTTATAGGCAAGTAAAGTATCTCCTTACTCGAATTGGTGAACCCCCCTCCCTGGTGGTCACGAATTTCCACTAGAACTCCAGGTGACATCCTGCATAGAACCATTATTCTCACTAGTGAATATCGGATTAATTTTCAAGTGATGGCTTGCAGGAACTTGATTGACTACACAGGTTTTATCACGAACTGATGTCGGTCAGAAGTCCTGGGTTTGGACTCCCGTGGGTGCGTACCGGTGAAGTTTTCTAAGTTGGGACGAAATCACTAGCTGTCCAGGGCTTCCTGGTTTTCCAATTACCTCTAATTGATGTCACTTCGTCATCAAGTCTGAAACTTTTTTGTCTTGAATTATTATAACTTGAATTCATAGGGTGATGATCCGCTTTCACTTACACAAATGAATTTAAGATAAGCATAATTTTCAAGAGTTGGTTCGTAAGGATTTGATTTGTTTTTACGAATTTGACCACGGATTGATATCACAATTAGAGAACCATTGAAAACCAGCCACAGGAAGTACTGGCAGACAGCTTTTTCATCCCAGTTATCTCTAACTGATATCAATTCCTGGTCAAACTCGTAAAAACAAATCTAACCCTAAGAAATCAACTCTTCATAATCAATCTGATGCTCACTGGTGGTGACTTACTGCTAAAGACGGAGTATCCTGGAGTTCTAGTGAGAAGTCATTACCGGTGACGTCCATCCAGTTGTTGTCACGTGTGAGGATGGATGGATGTCCCATGGTAGAAGTTAGAATTCATGGGCTGGGTATTGAGGACTCGGGTCTCAGTGCCTGAGAATGATATACAAGCTTACCTTGTAACCAGAAGGTTCTGGGTTTGAAACCTGGCGTTGGATGTGTACTACCTGTGGTTCCCAAACTAGGATGAAACAGCTGGCTATCCAGTACTCCTAGATGGTTTTCAATGGTTCTCTAACTGATGATGTTGATCCGTGGTCAAACGAGTATAAGCATAATTGTTTAACGGAATTTTTTTATATGGATGCATTCTTATAGTTAATACTGCTCAAGGTTTTCATGCTAGTTTTTGGTATAAGTACATTTTATATTATGAGAGGTAATACATTCCTTGTTAGCTCTATCAGCTCTAGTGTGATCCATTTTTATTTCATTTTATTTCACTGATTAATGTATGACAATGATGTTTATGTGTGTAACCTCATATACCTCGAACATATCTCTTACGTACCATAATATGAGAGACAGTTTTTGAGTTGGCAGCCCCGATCGATAGCTGCTACCTTGATGTGGTGGTCGGGCTTGCACATCGCGATGACCCAACAAGCTGCACTGGCTGGAACCAATGTTCCTGCAGATCCTACCATACCAGGAAGGTTGTTAGGATAACGATTCGACTAAAAGCAGTTACCGGCATTGTGTAAAAATCTTTCTTACACTATGCTGGGGATCTGAGGGCGAAGTCGTACCGCTGAGGAACAGGGGTGTAACGGCAGTGAGGTGTTTCCCTCAGATGACCAGCATGTCAGCTAGCTATGCTATCTCTCCACTCCGGAGGGAGGGGGTTAGAAAAGGTTGACCCCAAAAATTGTACATCCCGACTTACCCGGCGGTAAGTTCACTTACACGGAACCAATCCCAGAAACCACACAGGCCGTGTGTGACCGGCCTCAAGCAGTTGTCCCCTGGGCTCTGTGGTTACGCAACACTCTTTCTGTTTCAGGTACCTGAAGAATCAATGAACTTCCACGGTGTGGGCAGCCGGGAAGTAACAACTGCCCACACACTTCCAAAAGCACATGAAGCCTTCCTGAGCATCATTCTCCTGTACTCACATCACCTTCCTCATCTTGCTTTCTACTACAGTTAGTACTATTCTGCAGGCTAGTGAGTCATCTTCACTTCATTCTGTGACCACAAACAACGGTGAGAGCCATAGAAACATCCCAGATAGCCTTTTAAAGCCACGTCGCCAACTTCATATAGGAGCATCTAACGTCAGGACCCTCTGCTAAATATCAGGTTGGCAGCTGATGATATTATCTAGTTCCCCTGATTGAAGTAAGTGGGGCAGGATTCGAACTTGGCACCCATGACCTAAAAGCCGAGGACTTAATCTAGTAAAAGAGATAGGAAGACAGAAGGATATGTACATATATATAACATGTCCACTAGTCCGGTTGTATGCGCCAGATGTTTGTATTCATCCTTTCACTTTTGTAAGGAACCGCCCCCTCTCTCCAAAACATGATAGTATCCATCTGTGGGTGAAATTCAAACTAAGATAAATAACGGGATAGGACAGTGGAGATGTGGTGCACTGACTACTGCATTCAACATTCACTTAATGATATATATATATATATATATGTCTATTTTCGCAATGCCTTTTTATAACCAAACATGTACTTATCTGTCTGTTTGTCTTCTTGATCAATTTCGAAATATTCTCATCTCTAATTTCTTTCGTTCTGCTTAATCAGTTATATCTGAACTATATATCGTGGTGGTTAGAATTTACAAGCGGACAATCTAAATTAGACAACTAGCATATGGTGATAAACGGACAGACAGTAGTTTCGCTTGATTGATCCATATGACAGCCTGATATATATAATCCGTGATGATCACAAGTGAATATGATTACATGGTTAGCAGTTAGATCTCATTGTTCGGCTGGTGGACCACTGAACTCTGATGTTACCCGTTGACTGAAATCATTCTGGGCCTGTCTTCATCCAGTTACAAGTTTGTTTCGAATGTGTCGACTCAGTTCAGCCTGTTGTGCGATTAATCTGATGCTCACTACTGATTGACTGACTGACTGACCACAGGATAATGAAATTGCGTGAAGTCCTAGTGAGAAGTCGTGACCATTCAGAGGAGCCATCAGGTTGGATGTGATGATGGCATTGACACTGGCCTGGAAGTGTCGCTGAAAATCAAGAATTTAAAGAAGGCAGAATTCATGGTTCATTGGCTGAATCAGTTAAAATGCCTATCAACGTAACGTGAAGGTCTTGGGTCCGATTCCTGGTGGAGTAGTGGGTGTATATTGATGAAGAGTCCGAAACCGGAACGAAACAGGCTGTCCATTATCCCCTGGTTCTGTAACTGGCCACTATTCTATGTAGCTAGGCATCACGATGCACATTGTGATTTGATGACATTAGATGGTTGAAGGCAATTGGTACGAAGCCTTTGTTTGCTACACCTAGGTTTCATGCTAGCTGACACTCACCAGTCATTCAACAAGGCGTCGTATCTATAACCTTGAAGGAACAACTCATATCCCTTCTGAGATTCGAACCCACGTCATCCAGTGAGTACTGATGTCAGAGACGTTACCGCTAAGCTATTCGGGCTCAGAACTCTCAGTTAAGCAGAACAGATTTTTCATTTGTGTATGTGTGTGTGAAGGGGGATACTAGTGCTGGTAATGCTATCGAGTCGCCTCAAACTAAAGTAGACGAGGTGGAACTCGAGCCCGGGATTGATTAACTTCATGAAAGCATAACTAACTGAAATTTAAGTATAATATATGCTTATAATATGCTTATATGCTTATAATATGCTTAGAATGATTATTACTCATTATAGTGAATAAAAAATACTGTTGAAACTATCGATCATAAAATGAATATTAAAAAACTAAATAGGTAAAATTTGTTAAAATATAAACTGGAGGTGAAGTTATTCTTAATTGGGTTGTAGAAAATTTTGATTTCATATATATCTCATTACTATTACTCTGTACGGTTTGGTTAATTACTGAATGCTTATACTGATGAAGGTTATTGTGAGAGTCCTTCGGTCTAAAATTCTTCAAAGGGGGTGTATTAGACATGAAAACCGAGTGAGATCTTTGCGTCACTCCACATACTTTCGCGTACGGTTTTAGCCACATACTTACAAAGTACTGATAGATTACATATTAGAGATAAATGACATAGGGTGGAATAATCCGAAATCTAAATATCGATTTGAATGTGTGTGTGTTTGTGTGTAGGTTTTCTGTAATTACTGGTGTTTAACTTCCCATCTTATTTTCTTTCTAACACTAGTTTTTACGGAAAACCCACACACATTCAAATCGATATTTAGATTTTAGGTCATCCCACGTTATGTTGGTAAAGATAAGATTGGTGAAATGTTTCAGCAGTAGGGCATAAAAACTGAGTAGTGCCAAGGAAAATTTAAGACAGGAAGTGAGACGTATAAGAGGAGGCTTTTAAACTTAATAATTATCCTGATAAATTAATCAGGAAATATGTAGGAAAGTGTAAAAATAAAATAAATAATAATAGTAGTGATAATAATAATAATGTTAATGACGACTTGCACGGGATAATGACAATACCAACAATAGGGAATATAAATCATTAATAGTACTTCTATACTCAGAAGAAACCTCGATAACCTTACGGTGAATTTCTTACAATGGAGGAATAAAAGTGGTTGGCATTCAAACCCAAAAACTTACTCAGAAACCAACTTCTCTGGTTAAAAAGTCGTATAGAGCCCATTAAACAAAAGAATTTAGTTTATCTACTAATACCCTGCCTGCAATGACTGTCAAATCAAATACATGAGTCAAAGAAGTAGGATGGGTTTAATCCGACTAGTGGAGTACAAACACCTAAGGAAATCTGGATGAATTGACCCTAATAAGATAAGAGATCTGAAGCGTAACTCAGCTATAGCACTACATGCGATTACACACAATCATACAATAGGATGGGATAAGATGATCGTCTTCAAATCTGTTGTGTGTAATAGGGTGGAGGGAGAGATTGACAACGGGAACTTTGTATATCCAATCAACTGAAAATACGTTCAACGCCCATTTTGGACATCCGGATAAATGCTGCTAACCGTACAACGAATTGGAAGGAATAAGAAAGAATATCATAGAAACGAAAATTTTGAAGTTGTATAGTTATAATTGATATGATTATGAAGAATAGTAAATTGTGTTCGAAACCTCGTCATCCAGTAAATAAAATACCATTTCGATGTGTGATATATCCAATAAAGAAAGTGATATGGAAATGAATACATCTCCCTGTAAAACTCATAATTTAAATATTTAACCTCCATCTAATTGGCGGCTACTGAATGGGTGTCTTGAAGTTGTAATCAGACTTCGTGGTCAGCCTGTCCATGTGAATCATCTGTATTCCTAGTAGATGGCAAAAGAATTATAATTTAGTAATCCAGAATTTTCATTGGACTATATCACAGGTAGACTGAATCATATGTGATTGCTAACCCTTTTCAAGAAGTGTGTGCTAATAATAATAATAATAAACTTTCTATTCATATTTGCGTCAATAATCCCTCCTTTGATCTTTTCATCTTCTTCTCTGACTGTGCGTTGAAGGGTTGGTTAACTTTATCGATTTTGAGTATTGTGGATTCAATCATGCAGCATTTGATATTGGCAATCATTTCTGTGAATTTGCTGGTAAGTTTTAATTATCAAAAAAATAATAATAAATGTATGAATTATGTTTGTATTATGACCATATGTGTACAATTGATAATTTTCGAGCTGACTGTGCTATATTTACTATTCACAATATCAACCACGACAACGAGGACTCGCGACGCAAGCAGATAGAAGAGAGGAAAAGACTGTTTAAGTAGAGAGCGTTTATCGCCTCGTATCAACTACAAGCAAAAATTGTGTATCTACAGTTTAAATATACGTGACCTTGAGGGACACAAGTTACATTGATTAAATAATCGATACTTTCATAATCAACAACCAATTGGATTTCGAGTCATATATGAAGTGAGGGAAGTGCAAACAACAAAATGGCGTGTGTTAGGAAATTTATGTCTGTATTACAGTATGTTTTTATAAAAATGGGGAAGAGAAGTCTGTGTTAAATACATGTCATTTGATAATTATAAAAACTTCCTTGCCTTTGCTATGGCCTTCAAGAGCGTTAACCGCAAAGTAATTTGTAAGTTATTTCAGTGCCTATTGCATGGCTCAAATCTTGATCAACTTCATTTAATAGCTATATGATAATGCCACATGTCAGGTGAACCACGAAGGAAAACTCAATGAGATGGTTGGAGTGAATACAGGAGTAAGACAGTGCTGCGCCTGCATACTGCCACTGTGATAATCCTGTGTGGCACACCGTGCATGGAGAGCGACAAGACGGGTATACGCTGAACGGATAAAAGAAAACTCTGAAAGATCTGGATTTCGCAGATGATTTATGTCTACTGGCATATGTAGTAGAAGACTTACAGGGGAAAGCCAACAAGTTGTCAGAAGAAGCAGAGAAGGCGGGATTTCAGGTGAACACTGAGGTGATAAAGACAACCAGCCAACGGTGACAACAAACAGCGTCAATCACCAACAACTGGAGAAATTTGAATGAGGTTACTTTCTTCACTTATCTAGGAGGCATCGTTTCAACTACAGGTGGAACGGATAAGGATGTCAAAACCAGCCAGAATTGGAAATCTTCTCCACTCAGCGGAAATAGTAAAATTTGGATTTTCAACACTATCAGTTTGTCTGTATGAGTCAGAAACTTGCACTCCGCGTTACGAAAAGAACTTCCAACGGGCCACTGCAGACTTTCATCAACAGCTGTCTTCTCTGACTCCATACTGAAGATCAAATGGCCAGTCAGTCACAAAGAAAATTAGCAACAAAAAACTCTGCAGTGGTACAAACCAACTCACAACCCATTGTTCAACAAATATTCCGAAGAACATGGAGATGGATCGCATATACACTGAGAAGACAAACGAGTGCTCGATTGGAACCCAAATGGGAAACCACGAGTTGAGTGTAAGTTCGAGGGTGACATGGAGGAGGAGATCATGTGAGAAGGAGATAAGAGATTGTGAATAACTGTGGGCACAGCTATAAAGGACCTCAGAGAATAGGACAAAGTGGAGATGGGCTGTTGAAGCACTATGTTCCACTCAAAATCTAAGGGAACAATAAGAATACTAATAATATGTTGGCTGATTACAGGATTATGATGGAAAACAGTCAAGTATGATCAAACCAAAACATGATGTCAAGCCATAAAGTCTGTGACTGTCAGTCTGAGCCTGAGCCCATTTTTGGGGGTGTAGACTGTCTGTTTGTGAAGTCCTCTAAATGCTAGAATCCAATGGCTGGAGACTGTTGATGATATATGGTTCACTCACTCTATAAACTCCCAAATGTATTAAATTTTCATTCTACATACACCAGTATTCCTTTTCTCTGTTTATTTCCGTAATTTTACTAAACAGACAAACTACTAAGGTTATATGACTGTAGAGCCAAAGAGACAACTGTTTTGTGGTCCGTCATACATGGCTTGTTTGAAGTAGATGTCTGAAGAGTAGATGGTTTTCACCGCATATGTGGTATAATAGGGTGGCATAGCGGTTAGGATGCTCGCCGACCATGCACATGGTCCGGGGTTGCATCTCTTTTTGACTGTTTCTTGAATGTCAAATCATCTATATGTTAACTGTATCTGCCTACGCAAAGTCTGCTGTGGTTGATTGTTGAATCTGTCTTGCCTATATTTTCTCACGACCAATATTTGGGACATAAACATTGACGTAAATTAATGTCTAGCAACTGACTAGCAGCCTGCTCTCACCACACTATATCCATTGAGTTGTGATCATTCTCTATAGAATTATATTTCTCATTATATTTCCTTTGAATTTCTCTCTCTTTTGTACGCTAGATTTATTTTTGTTATTATTATTTAATTCCTTTGCGTCCTGAGCCGAAGATTTGACTTCAACCTTTAGGTTTAAAATTTCAATAACATTGGTGTCTATTTTTAGCCTCACGGCGGACCTTCCTTCTTTACCAGGCTTATTTACCGGCTATGCAAGGGGTTTAGGAGTGCGTCAACCGGGGATCGAACTCCGGACCACGTATGGTGTGGTATTTTGCGAGCATTCTATTGCTGAACTGTTGTTGACGCACAAAAGTGCTCCCTCACTGGGAGTGGAAACTTGGCTGTCTGGGGGATAGCCAGGAATCCTAGCCGCTCTATGGGGTGTGGCACTTTTGTGGAAAGTCCTACGTTGAAACTCAGTCAGTCAGTTAAACTTTACGCACCAATAACCTTGAGACGCACACTGAGCAAATTAGTGAAACCTGCCAAATAATGTTGTCACCATCAGTAAAATACGCCCATCAAAGTGTTATGCTTATAAATGGGATATCTGACGAGTTTCAGCTTAGTTAGGTTTGAGAAAAATTAAGTTACGCTTTAAGCCGAGGACAAGTAAGGGTTAGGTTAGCCTAATAAAGGCGACATTAAGGTGTTGGTTCGAGTTAGATTACAGTTAGTTTAGGGATATTTTCACGCTAGGGTTAGATTGAGTAGAGATTAGGGTTATTGTTAGGGTTAGAAGACCTAAATAATTACATGCATAGAATGTGGTTAAATTACTCTGTTGTGATATAAAAATAGAACGTGTGCACTGTGGTGGTAGAGTATAATTCCATTGTGCGTAACATTTATTTTGAAAAATTCTCACAGTGTTATACAGTAATATTTACTGATGACAACGTTTCGAGCACAGTTTATTGCTCAGCAAATATTACTGTTTTACCCTATGAGCCTTTATCAAAATAAATTTGATCCACGATGGAATTATACTCTGTTAACACTTCAACCTAAAATTTAGAGCTATTTTTATCACATGTAAGAGGAAGGTATCCTCTGTAACACTTTTCTACTGATTTTATGCATTATTTCATAAATACATATATGTATTCCATACACAATAATGCCTCCTTCACGTGATTGGTGCGTTCAAGGTCATTCGCTGATTGGTAGTTGGTGGGTGGTGCTTAAAGTTTAACTTAGCCGTATAATCTTAGCATTTAGTAGAATTATTTTTAAATTAAACTGAGCTTGTTCAAATCAAGTTAAAAACACTTCATCATTCCATGAGGTCGACGCTAGCTTATAGAGTTTTACCAACCCCTAGAAAAATGTAGGACATCTGATCTATAAAGTATAAAGTTCATCTTCAAATTCAATGTTTATTGTCTCCGATTACAGCAAATAACAATAATAATTCACTATGAGGCGTCAGGGGTTCGGCGATAGGAATTCTGGCTAACCACATACACATGCACATGGTTTGAGGTTCGATTCCCACTGACACAATCACTCTTAAACCTCGCTTATCCGATAGGCAAAGTCCAGTAAAGAGAAAAACTTAGACTGTGGGCTCAATGCTAGTAACTACACTCTTTTGTAAGACAAACAACACGACACCTGCTCCTGAAACTTTTCAAACCTCAAAACTTGAAGCCCTAACTTTCTCACTTGGAACGTAAAGAAGTTGACAAGAGGATAGTGGGGATCAATATTTTTTTGTTTATTCCTTTACGTTCCCAGTGGAACATAAGGCGCCTTCAACCTAGAGGCTTAAAGTTTCAGTAGCAGTGGTGTTTGTTTTACGGGATGGGGTTGCTAGCCAGCCTCATGCTCAACTAGTAGTAGATAAGCAAGACGAGGAAGATGATATGAGTAAAGGAGAATGATGCTCAGAAAGGTTTAGTATGCCTTTGAAAGTTGACCGCTTCAGTTATTTGGAAAGTATCATCAGCCAGTGCCAACGGGTTGATCTCTGACGAAATCTCAGCACAGATACCAGAGGGCTAGCTTCGCATTTGCCAGTTTATGCCGTCTCTGGCGTAGACGTGCCATCCGGCTGTCTGTCGACTGATGGACGTGTGTACTTGCTCATCAGTCCGCTCCGTCCTCCTGTATGGCTAGCTGTGATACCTGGCCACTGAGAGTGGAAGATATAAAAAGATTAGCTGTCTCTGATCATAGGTACCTGCGTTCTATCTCCCATGTGAAGTGGTATAATAAGGTGAGCAATATTGAGGTTCGGCATCGGTCGAGTGCTAGCTAAGGAGAGGAAATGAATGGACGACGCTGTGAAATTACATCGACTGAGATGATTAGGACATGTGTTACGCATGCCTTACCTAGTCATCGCCTTCCTCGACAATGGGCAATGTCAGGCTGGAAAAGAGCTAGCAGAGTTCAAACCAAAACATGGCTTCATCAGTCAATGAAATCCACAACAGTTAGTTTAAGTCACGTAGGAAGGTGCATCCTTCTCGGCTGGTTGGGGTCCTCAGGACGGTAAAAACTAATAGTTGGAAACAATTGGGGACATGGCTCAAAGTGGTCGTTCTCAATGGCTGGCTCAGATGCATCCACTCGTTGTGACTTATGATTTCCAATGAAATTGTTTTGTTCTTCGTTACTACTATTCCTTTGTCTCACACCCCTGTTTACTGTCTCTATTATGCATTTCTTCTGCCTTCTTCTCTTGTTTTGTGTGCTACAGTGAGGAAGTGTGACGACTTGAACTTCCGCACATGTGTGCAAAGTTCTATGTCGAGAACAGGCATACAGACATGCTCAACTTTACTCCCCTTTTACC